CGCCTCGGCGAGACGTGGATGGCTTGAGGTGATTGCATCGGCGGGCTTCTTTTTGACTGCCCTTTATTTTCTCGGAGCGTCCCTCGTCTGAAACGTATATCATGATTTGATGATACGTGGAGACGACTCCTTGAATGCCGTGAATGAGGGGTCTCCCCATGATCACGTTGTATGCAGATGGAGCATCTACGACCAAAAATTCGGCCATGATATTCCTAGCTGCTCGGCCTTCGCCGATGGTGACAGGAAGTGTAATCTTCCCGTCAGGATACGATGAAGAGCCGTTGAATCCAGACACCGGGTAGGGTGCGGGGGCCAGGTGCTCGGCTCCCATCCTCAGCTGGTCGAACGCTCCTCGGAAGAGGATGTTCGCCCCGCTACCGCCGTCGACGAGGGTCCGCCAGACGTTGCGGTTGGCGATGCCCAGAATGATTACTAGTGGGTCATCGTGGGGGTATACCACCCCCTCACAGTCTTCGGCTGTGAACAGGATGTTCGGCGCCGGTGACTGGGACTGCCGAAGCTCAGCCTGATGAATCTGATGGGTTAGACCCCTCAGTTGGCGTTTGGCTGTGCCTCGCGAGATTCCCCCGGAAATAACTAGGATGTCGAGGGACTCCTTGCCCTGAGGTCCCTTATCCTTCTTCCGAGCGAAGTTGAGGTCCTGCCGAGAATCTTTTTCAGCTTTTTTCTCCTCGCGCCTGTCCGCGAGGTATTGGCTCAGGTACCCCTTGCGGACCAGATCCTCAATCTGGTCCTTCAGCTGGACGCAGTCCTCGGTGCGATGTCCGGGTGAGTCATGGAACTCGCACCACTGGTCCTTTCCCCTCGTCTGATGCCAGGGAGGCAACGGACGAGGTTTTTTGAATCTCCCCTCGTCCTTCGTCGTGCTGAAAATCTTAGCACGGGGAAGGGAGAGTGGAGTGTATGAATCGTACCTTCCCGTGTAGGGAAAGTGTCTTTCCTTCTTCGGCTCGGCAGCAGAGGACGGTTCTGAGGCCTTAGCCTTCCCTTTCCTCTGCGCCGAGACTTCGGGCTGCTGCCCTTTCGGCTTCTCAATTCTCGGACGAGACTGAGACCTGGATCTGTTCCACTCCTCGGCTCGGATGAACCTATCCGATGCTTCCAAGGCTTCCTCCAGGGTCTGCGGGGGATGCATGACCATGAAGTCCAGGAACTTTCCAGCTTGGAGGCCGTTCCGTAGCGCGAACACGGCCAGGCCTTGATCCAGGCTTGTGATTCCGGATGACTCGTTGCTGAAGCGAGTCAGATAGTCGCGGAGGCTCTCGTCCTCCGCCTGCTGCAGACTCATTAGCTCTGCAGTGGTCTTCTCTCGGCGGTTGGCCGTAGAGAATTTGCTCTTGAACTTGTTGGAGAGGTCGTTCCAACCGGTTATGGAGCCTTCCTTGAGCCCTTTGGTGATCCAGGATTGGGCAACACCTTTGAGGGTCGTAGGAAAGTATTTACACCAGCTAGCCTCAGACCTCGGGTTCAGATACATGTGCCCCTCGTAAGAGGCAATGTGATCCTTAGGATCTGAGGTACCATCGTAAGTAATATGTGCCGGGATTTTGACCGTTGGCACATGCTCTTCCAGAATCCACTTCTGGAAGGGCGAGTTCGATGGAACCATGACCGCCTTCCCCTTGTACCCGGCCTCAGGGACCTCGCTCCCTCCTCTCTCAGAGGTGGAAGTGGTTTTCGTCCCCGGCTGAGACAAGGTTGGGTGGGGTCCGGTATCCTCTGGGAAGGTGAGGCGGCTATGCACACTCACCTCCCTCGAACCCAAGCGTTCGTGAACGCTTTGGCGGGCGAATTCCGGGTCCTTGGAGGGCCCCATGGAATTCTGAGCTTCGGAGTGGTCAGAGGGTTGAGGGTTCCTCCTCCTCTCCTTACTGGAGTTTCGGGTGTCCCCTCGCCACCTCTGGCCGAGCTCTCTATGTGGTGGAACTTGTCCACCATCATCCTGACCGATCCTCCTTTTCAGGTTTCTCGGCTGGTGATCATCAGGCATCTGGATTGGAGCCCCTTGAGCTTTAAGGAACTCCATGCAGATGGCCACTGCTCTGGCCACTTCCTCGGTGGAGGGTCCGGAGGGAGGAGTCTCCCGCGGATGTGACCTGGATTGCACGCTATGGCGCGGCGGGGAGTTCCTCGCACCTGAGCCACTCGGTCTCGGGGATGGCCCCGGCTGCCGAGTGTGGTGCGAGGTGTTCTCCTCCTGGAGGCTAGGACCTCTTGAGGCTTCCCTTTCCGGAGAAATGGGGGCCTCCGATTCGGAAGAGGCTTGCTCCGGGGAGGGATAAACCGGCTGGCGTTCCCTCACCGTAATCCGGCCTCCTCCCTTCTTAGCCTTCTTGGAACTCTTTCCACTCTTAGTCATGGCGACTGCCGGAGTGTTTGATGACTGACGCGAAATTTAGTAGCGTTCCCCACAGACGGCGCCAAATTGTTTCGGATGAAAACAATCGAATCTCGGAAGATCCTTTTATCTTGAGGGAACTTGGTCTCGGTCCGAACGACGCAGGAGCCGAGGGTTTCCTGCACAACAAATACACGTAAACTAGCCTCGGGGGGGACGCCGAGGAAGGCCCCTCCGATGCTTAAGTCAGTATATTAGAGAGAGAAAGCTGTGCAAGAGTTTAGTTGCTTGAGGCTTTATTGTCTTACCAAGAATTGACCAAATTGTTGGCTTTTATACCTTGGCTAATGAAGGAGGCGGATTGGGCCCGGAAGTCAGTTGGGCTGGGCCAAGCTGATTGGGCCGTTGACTGACCTTGACATGGCTTTGAGGATGTTGATTTTTGACTTTAGCACATTTGGAGAGTTGAACCTTAACCTTGGGCTTTTAATTGGATCATTCAGTGACCAGGCCCAATTGGACTAAATTGGACCCAAACATTTTATATACTTTTTGAGGCTAATTTTAATTATAATGACCGAGCTAGATGAATTAACTAAACCCTATTTGCTCCCAATTGCTTTGCCAAATTGAATTGACTAAGTCATTTCATCTTTAACAAAAAAAATGACTAAAAGTCATCATTTTTGGAGCTACCAGCACATGAAAATCTGTCACTAACAAAATTTGAGTGTACTTTCAAATAGACATTACTCCCGGTCTCCCGCTGCCTTAATTTCATATTCCGTAATAACTGTCATACATACATTTGTAGCAATAAAAAATTAATAAAAAAAACCTCCATGCATGAAAGTAGAGTAACATTACTATAAAAATTGATTATGACTTATGAGGGTTTTAGTATTATTATTGAAATATTATATATAATTATATAAACTCATAATCATGAATTCACGACTGATTAAGGAACAAACCATATGTTATGTATTTGTCTTAGATCTCAAACAAACCATAATAAACAAGTAAAAATAAAAAACCATTGAGATCGAGCATTAGCGAGAATAAATAATCTTAAAGTTGTTCCAAACATGAGCATAAATCCTTAAGAAGTAATTTCATATCATCAATGCTCAATCGTCAAAATACAATACGTTAGATACATTTTTTTTCCCGTTCAAGCTAAGGCACAATCTTGATAGTATTCCAATACTAGTAGTGATATACTTCTGGTTGAGTAAAAGACAATTAGTGTAGACCAGCTGACCAGACCAACCTTCTACCATTTTCAAACCTGATCACAGCATTCACTCTATAAAGAAAGACATGTATAACAATTTCATATGCGAGCTAGGTTCAAACGAAATTTACAAGTGTCCACTTCATATGACTAAGGAGGTTCCAAATCAAAACCATATGACAATGAGGGGAGTAGCCCCTTAGCCTTATAAAGTGGTCATCACGACTTTCTCTTTTTTTCATTGTGGGATCACATCTCAATATTTCTCTTTACATTTGTAGTCTTTTAATATGAGACAACACCTTCACTCACATGTATGGGATCGACAGTTTTTTATCCGTCACCACGTTACATACTAATTATAGTGGAGAAGTACATACCATTATTTTCAATACTCTTGGGTGTAAGTGTGTAACCGTGTAAGACAAAAGTATTGCCCTAACTCAGCTCTTATGAGCTGATGTTGAGTTGTTATTGATGATTACGTATTACACTAACCCCTCTTCTTATTAAATCCATTAGTCTTCTTCATAGACAACATTGAAAAATTGACATTTGCGGCCTTATGCTGGTATGTATAGGCAGATCATATATGCCCAACAAAATTTCAACGCAGACAGATACCTTCACAAATTAGAACATTATTACAGGTGTCATTCAATAATTGATTACTTGCACTTCTCATCCATTATATATGTTAAAATAATCTCATCATAATTGGTTAAACACTCACCTGAACTATATACACGCGTACACATCAATTTGTGACAGAGTTGTAGGAAATTATTAAATCATGCAAACAACAAAAATTCTAGATTATTCCACGAGTACAACTAAACAAGTTAGGACATGCTTGGATTGGAGGTAATACATTAAGGCGGTAAAAGTTAGGGTGAAAAGTTCGAGCCTTACTATCTATTTTAATTTCACAATGTACAATCTTAGAGATTTGCCAACCTCTCCCATACTCTAAAGCATTGAGATCATTGACAAATATAATTAAATTAGGCCGACTAAGTTGTAAAAAGTATTCGTTCAAATGCTAGCTAGTAGGATCCTTCTTACAAATTAATATACCAACTACTTTATACATATTACATGTCAACAATTAGTGAAGATTATACAGTTTACTAGTTTAGACTTTAGACTAGTCAAATATTGTGCACTTAGTATGTATATTAACTGTGTGTATGTATATGCGAGTTAGTGACCTAATTATACATACACTTTAGCAGCCACGTGGACTTAAAATAATTAAATCGCGTTAATCTAGATTTAATTAAACTTTGGTTGTTGGAGTTAAGTAATCAATATCTGTATACTATGTTAACGTGACATACTCTCTTTCATTTATTGGCTCCCAAAATCTTACCTAAGAAACATTACATTTTTATAATTTTTTATATAAATTGAAAAAAAAGGAAAAAAAAAAAGGGATGTGAAGAACAATATATAAAAAGCAGGGGAGGCATGCAGAGGAAAATATCAACCTAAGGTAGTTGTAAACTGATAAACTGCTTATCTTTTAAAGAACAAATATTTCCTTACTTTCACACTTCATTATAAACCCTTCAAACTCTTTATTTTCTACAACAAACTATAATTCATCACTAAAAATATCCCAATTTTTTGTGTAAGAAAATTTAATTTTCCTAGAAGTTTTTGAGTTGTAACGACAGTTATGAAGATTATACCATCTATGGAGTCAGTAGTAGCGGAGTTAGAAGGAACACTTGTGAAGGATCCGGACCCGTATTCATACTTCATGCTTATTGCATTCGAGGCCTCGGGTCTTATTCGATTCACCTTACTTCTCCTTCTATGGCCTATTATTCGTTTTCTTGACTTGGTGGGCATGAAGGATGCTGGATTTAAGCTTACTACTTTTGTCGCGGTAGTAGGGGTTCGGCTTTCTGATATTGAGTCCGTGGCACGGGCGGTTCTACCCAAGTTTTATATGGATGATGTTGATATTGATGCTTGGAGGGTTTTTAGTCAATATGATAAAAAAGTTGTGGTGACTAAAACTCCTAGGGTTATGGTGGAGAGGTTTCTTAAGGATCATTTGAAGGCCGATGAAGTTATTGGGAGTGAGTTGGTTGTGAACCGGTTTGGATATGCAATGGGGTTTGTTCGTGATGTTGGGTCTGATTCAGGTCGGGTTGCTAAGTTATTTGGTGATGAGACACCTTCTTTGGGGCTTGGAGGGTCAAGTATAAATGACAGCAACACATTCTTTTCACTTTGCGAGGTAAATATACTATGTACTTTACTTGTACATCTTATCACATAAATTTTGCATGTAACTTCTTTGTATACCCTAGATATAAAATTATGGCATGTAATCCTAATTTGACACACGTAAACAATTGATGATTAATGTTTGCTACACCCTTATTTCAGGAACAATGCCACCCACCATTCAACACAACAGACAAGCTTCTCAATGGCCACCGTGATCTCAACCGTCCACTTCCAGTGATCTTCCACGACGGGCGCCTAGTAAAGCGGCCAACACCCTTCATCGCGCTCCTCATCCTCCTATGGCTCCCTATTGGTGTAGTCCTAGCAGTCATCCGAATGTCATTTGGCCTAATCCTCCCGTTCTGGCTAGTACCCTACGTGACAGCTGTCTTTGGTGGCGGCGTCATAGTGAAGGGCAAGCCACCGGCCTCATCCGGTGGTGTCCTCTACGTGTGCACCCACCGAACCCTAATGGACCCCGTAATACTTTCCTACGTCTTAGGCAGGAGGATCCCAGCCGTTACATATTCTATTTCAAGGGTGTCCGAAATACTTTCACCAATTCCAACCATTCGATTAACCCGTGATCGCCACGTGGATGCCGAAAGAATTAAAAAAGAGCTAGGAAGAGGGGACTTAGTCGTTTGTCCTGAGGGTACTACATGTAGGGAACCTTTTCTATTAAGGTTTAGCGCCTTATTTGCTGAATTAACCGATAATATTGTCCCCGTTGCTATGAACTATAGGGTCGGGTTCTTCCACGCAACCACGGCCCGTGGTTGGAAGGGTTTGGACCCATTTTTCTTTTTCATGAACCCTAGACCTATCTATGAGGTGACCTTCTTGAACCAACTACCCGCCGAGGCTACTTGCTCAGCCGGTAAAAGCCCTCATGACGTGGCAAATTACGTGCAACGTATATTGGCCGCTACATTAGGGTTTGAATGCACCAACTTCACAAGGAAGGACAAGTATAGGTTGTTGGCCGGAAACGATGGCACCGTGTCGAATGCTAAGAGTTCATGGCTTCTTGGTAGCATAAGGAAGGTGGTGAGCACTTGCAAGCCTTTCATTCACTAATACATGCAACATATTTTCCCCCCATTTTTAAAAATTTTACAGAATAGTTTGCCTCTACTCTATGTCCATGAATCTTTTAATTTATTTGGTGGTCTTAATTAATTACTTAAATTAAATCAAAGGGGATAATTTATTAATTAACATGCTTTGTATAGAAGTAGAGGCTAGTCATTTTTATTTATTTATTTATTTATTTGCATCTTTTCTTTATGAAAAAATTCATATTAGATTTTTTTTTTCTCTTTTTGAAGCTAGTGAATGTAAAAATAAGGTATGTATTGTGAGAATGTTGCTGGCAGATTATCATCTGTTAGTTTATTCATAATTTCAAAGTTAAATTCATGCAATTCAATAACATATTCTTCAAGTGTATTGTACGTTATTCACATTTAAATAAGCAAGGTACGGATTTTTAAAATTGTGTCATCCTAAACTAACTCTCTCTCGTACATTGGCATAGTATGACAATACTCCAATACAAATTCAATGAATTTGTGCGGCAAGTGAACAATTTATAATTAGCGTAGGAAAATAAGATTTATCCGGTCCATAAATTTAATTAATTGAGTATTAGGTAGGTACAATTGTTTGTGATATACCTTTACTTGGTCTTATTTGAGGCCAATAATAGTTTCTTCTTCTTCAATGTAACATAAAAGCAATAAATAACGCTAACCTAATCTTGTGGATATGGCTCACATAATGAGAACATATCTATCCTTGTCATTTGTTGATTAAATCGGTAAGAAAGTGGGAATAGACATAAAAATCCTAAGCTTAGCCTGTCGCCTCATTCTAAAGAATAAAAGAATGTCACAAGTCTAAACCAGTTCAAGCCAGTGACCATTTGACGAATTAAACAATGGCATTGTGTATCACATGCTATCATTGCTATGTTTCCATTCCAATTCAAGAGATTAACTCTTGGTGCCCAAGTACAATGGGATCAAATTTTGTCTACTGTATCGCTGTATTGTTTTCATAGCTCTCTATACACCATTAAATAAATTTATATACTATGTATGCATACCATTCAATAGTATGTAGTGCACACACCATACTTAAGAAAAACTTAATTAATTAATTGCATGTATGATACGGAGTAAAATTTACCTATTATGGTAGCATGAATGAAGTACTATCATCTAGAAATTCACATGGTGAATGTGATGTAATAAAATCCTTTGAATCATAAAAGATAGATGACGGGGTACGGTTTTAGGCTATCATCTAGAAATTTATTATGATTATAAAAACTTGCAATTATAATACTTAGGAAGTAACATGAAGATCATCTATACAAGTATACTCTCTATATAATTTTTTTTTTTATTTTAAAAAAAGTATATTAATGAAACTTGAGAGAAAATATGCTTTAAAGTATGGTTTGGTGAACAATACTGAGAAAATATGCCGTTACTTTAATATTAATTTGGAAGTTAAATCTGGTACTTAGGTGAAAGTAGCTTTGACCACATAGTGGTCTCGGAAGCTGGCTTGGTATGACTACTATATCGCACATCTCATCCTCATCTTTACATCACGTATGAGTGTATGACCTAAGTGAAACAAAGACAACAATTTCATTATTGTCATATAATAAGTTCTAGATAGAAAAATTTAATACTACGGAGTACTATTCTATTCATTCTACTACTTGTATCTAGTACGTAAAATAGAGAAATGTGGAATAGCTCAACATACTTGTATGTTTCGTAAATCCTTAATCTTATTGTGCAATTAGTTTTAGCTCAGTCCTTTGCATTGTCATATGTAGTTTGTTTTCTTATTTTATTTTTAATTAGTCTTGAGAGAAGGCTTTTCTGTCTAACTTTGTGTATCTTTCTATCTAGAAAAAGGAAGAAAAAAAAGGTAAGTTCCTTTTTTTTTAACAATGTGAAAGGCTGAAAGCCCATAACATTCTTGTTAGATTATTAAGAACTATATAGGCTTTTGAAATATTCAAAGTCTTACCTTCTTAAAATTTGCTGTTGATAATGTGTATAGAGAATTTTAAGTATTGACACTGTTTTACAGAAAATTAAAAGTTCTTATGTGAAATTTAATAATTTATCTGTTCTTTTAATATTGTACCATTTGTCTTTTAAAAAATTTTGAGAAATATTGCGCAATTTTCACTTCAGGATAAAATAACTCTATTCACACTACAAAGACCCAACATATCCTTAAATTTAAACCCTTATTCTTTAGTTTATGTTTACATTACATAACAATTTTGTAATTTTAGTTTTTTATCGCTTTATTTATTTCCACTATCAAAATTAACGTGTCCAACTGATATGGAGAAATAATTTTAAAAATGGAGGAATTTCGTTTTTGGATACCACTTGCAAAATTGCACTAGATTCCTTGATGTAAATTGGACAGTCAGTAAAAGATATTACTTGTACTGTTGACCTGTTGTACATAAAATGGCTGACAAGTACAAGGGTATTTTGTCATTCTTTTGCATACTAAGCCCAAAAGATAAGGCGAGGCGGACTGGGTAGTGTACATAAATGTTAACGTTAAACAAATTGGTGGGCTTTTTCAGAAGCAATTTATACCTGGGCCTTGCTCGTATTTGCCTTTTTCAACACGGTGGAGTATTGTTGGAATGCTGAAAAAAAAGGTACTCATTCAGTCATTCTCCCTTTCTTCGTATTTTATTACTCTGTATTACTTGTTCCATTACTTAAAAGTTTGGAAAATTTGCAAATTGCAAACCATTTAAAGTTCGTATTTTACAAATTGCAGTCATTTAAAAAAAAATTGCAAATTGCAGCCCAAAAATTCATATAAATTGTAAATTGCAGCCCGATTCAACTTTTTCATCGGTTTTCAAGTTGAAAAATCTTCAATTAAGGTTTTAGGGGCCATTTTAGCCCTTAGGGACCTGAATTGAGCTCGGAATTAGCAAAAAAATAACGCAAGTATCTCATTTTGCGTAACAAAAGTGTATCGATTTGTGGGAAACTGTAAATATGAGACACTTACGTTATTTTTTTGCTAATTCCGAGCTCAATTCGGACCCCTAAGAACTAAAATGACCTCTAAAACCTTAACCGAAGATTTTTCAACATGTAAACCGATGAAAAAATTGAATCGGGCTGCATTTTACAATTTATACGAACTTTTGGGCTGCAATTTGCAAAAAAAAAATTTAAATGGCTGCAATTTGCAAAATACGAACTTTAAATGGTTGCAATTTGCAAATTTTCCTAAAAGTTTTCAAAAAAGAAAATTAACAAGTATAAAATACGATTGTAAAAAGAAAGTGGAACAAGTAATAAAATATGGAGGGAGTATACTATTATGATTATATTCCCCATTTCCCCTTATTCATTGTTGAATTTTAATATTTCATACATTACGGAGTAACTTTGTTTATATTCCATTGTTTTAGGTTCTTGCTAACGAACACCCTCGGTGATAAATAAGCATTTAAAGTAACCTAAAGTGGTACTTCGTATTAATTTGGAAATGTCTGATCAAATCACACGTCGAACAATGTAATTTATAGATTATTATGTTACATATAAATAAAAGGTAAAAATACAAGTTTTTTTTTTTTTTTTTTTTTTTGGTAAAGTAAAGATATCACTACTCAGTGACTCATTTGATATCTTTATTAGATGTACAACTTTTGTATAGGTGTTTTCCACATATTTTATTTTTACAAGTTTTTCTTTGCTTAAGAAACCTATAAAAACTTTTGTAACCTTTCACAATTGTGCACAGAATGCAATAAATTTGAATTTTAAAGTGTATCCAACTCCATTGGTATTTAGTGCATTTAATTAAATTTAAAACTACTATACAAAAATAATCACCAAAATTATAAAAGCAAAAGGTAGAAAAAGGTATGTTAATTGTCAAATATAGAGTATATAAAAAGGAAGCATATTTTCCTAGATGCTCCCTCCCCTCTTACGCATAGGGGACATATCACATAGTTAGAGAATCAACAAAAATCATACACATATATAAAAAAAATTCAATAATTTTATTTCCCTTTTATTTTTGTGTCAGCAACTAAAGATAATATAGTTAGAACTTTCTAAGAGGGTCATACAAATTCATGAAATTCCAAATAGAAAAGACACCAAAAATTGTTGGGAAAATGAAAGACTCGTTCAAAAAAAAAATTAAGGGTTGAATGATGATGTGTTATGGACCACGGTCCTGTTCCCCCGTTAATGGGTGTGTGCTTCTTCTACGTTGTTGTCCGTTTGAAGAAGTATGACTATGATGATCCCTCTATTCACATCTCAACAAAAGCAAACCCGAAAAAAAGGGGTTGGACCACGGAAGATTAAAGCGTCCTTACCTCTTTAGAAAAAGTTTATCGGAACAAATTATTTATATTGTGATTTGATCATGTTATCATGTACAAAGTATTAAATAAATATAAAAAATGAGTTTGCATTATTTTTATGCTTCAATTATTTTCATAATTAGTACATGAACAAAGTTTAGTTAAGTTGGTTTAGAGATTGTTCCTCAAAAAAAAAAAAAAAGGTTGGTTTAGAGATTTAATAAATTAACGTGGCTAGTGATTTGTGCAAATTCTTTTTTATATACTCGAAACGGACGAAATCAGATTTTACCTAATTATTCGTATTGGTTTGTGTTATATGTAGTTTGTAATGAATAAGAACAGCTCATTCTATCAATAGTAATGCTATTAGAAGATAGAGTAATAATAATATCCTTTTTTGTTTAATTGTTTTAAAATGCTAAGCAGTGTTTATATACTCTTGCTATTTTGTCCCTTTGTGTGCACAAGTTAAGGGGATGTTGCAAGAATAATTTCTTTTGATGGCATATCGAAATACAAAAACATCTACTAGCTTATAATTAAAAAATTAAGTTCGAGGAATAATGCAATTTGAAGGCGAAATATGCATACATATATACTATATAGGCCACCATTGGAGATAGGCATAAAATAATGCATAAAGAGTGTTATATTCACTTGATTTTCACTTATCTAAATATTCTTAGAAACGTTCATATCTTCCTAAGCTAGCTCCCGACTCAAGACATATTTCTTACATTTTATTTTGCAAAATTGATATGTTTCATGCATTCACGTGTATATTTTTTGAAATATTTAACACAAAATAGACTAATATAGTAGGAATTATCCCCAATTTAATATCAAAACCCTTCAAATCCTCTTCATACCAATTCTAGGCAATATTTCTTAAAAATATCGAAAAAAAAAAAAGAAAAACCCTTTTGAAAAATAAGCTACGTACTCATACATTTAATCTATCCACGTTTATACAAAGAGAAATCAAAATAACATTAGATAACTTATTGTCTTTGCTGTCAACGTGATACTCTGTATGTCTTTAATTT